GTAACACATGTTTCCCCTCATTAATTATACATTGAATGTCTAGAATGGTGATGTTTAGTGGTGACCTCTAGACCCCAAGACCTCATTCTCTTGTTTTCTCTAGATTTCATTTAAATTGCTTATTTTACATTGAACTTGTTTAGTTTAGTTTGTAGTCTAATCAACCAAACACACTACCTTTTGATCACTCGACCTATTAATCCTATACATTGTTTCCATTGCAGGTACGCCTATAATCCCTTCGGACGATCCCTACTCACCCTAACTATATTTTTAGTTAGAGATAGTGGTGGCTTTTATAAATTTGAAACTTGGCCACATTTCACACTCACACTCTTAGTGCATCTTTAAACGTTGGTGACGCGACGACACACCACCTTTGAGAGATATTTTTGAAAAAAATCAAAGTTGATTTTTCTGTCATTCTTTCTAAAACACACACATAAACACAAGAGTGAGTTTAAAGTGTTATTCAAATTCTGATCGTGATCAAAGTCTCGCATCTACAACGATCAAAGAAAAATAGATCTACTTCTACATCAAATTCAGATATTAAAGAACAGAGGTGAAGCGATCACACTTTGAAAGGTCAAACCATTCGAGGAGTGTTATTTGATCTATCAACAATTCTTCTACAGAGATCAAGAGTAAGACTGAGGTCAAGTGCTGTTGGACGGGATGTCGCAAAGCTAGATGATTGTCAGCAATTGGTGTTTGGTAGAACGATAGGCTGTGAGCCAGAACAAAGTCTATTGTAATTTGTTTCAAACATAGTGGATCGGTACTTTGGATTGCAGAGTCCACGAGGTTTTCCCACGTAAACTGTTGATCTATTTTACCAATGGGGGTTTCTTCGCTAAAAATTCTGGTGTCATCTCTATTACTTTGTTTGATATTATCTTGCATTTATTGATTAATTGTTAAAATAAGTAAAGTTAGAAAAATACAGATTTGTTTCTAAAAATACAAAATTTTCTAAATCTTCCACTGGATTAGTATCAGAGTCAATTACTACACATTGAGTTGATTCTTGTGGAAAGTTTTGATTGATTTCAAAAAATTTGTTTTTGATTAAGAGATCATGGAATGGCAGTGACTGAGGTCAAATCAAGAAAAAATGTTGGTCCTTGTTGCAGCAAAAATTTGAAGAAGAAAACTCGAGTTGGACAAAAGGTTCCAAGTTCACTAACAATTCTGCTCTATTGACTTCATTAATGGAGGAATCTAGCTCCATATTATAAACCAATTAACTTTTGTCCCACATGATATATACAACCATGCAACATAATAATACTATGTATAAAGTATAAATAGGTTGCATTCCCTAAATTATGCTGGGATTCTTTGTCGTGGACTCGGAGTGCCAGTCTGCCAGTTGTATGAGACTTGCTTATTATTATAATAATAGTAATAATAATAGTAATAATACAACAACCCTATAATTATGAGAGTATTTACTATGGTATTCTCAGCCAACAAAAAATCAAAATTTCTCTTGAAAAAAATTCTTTTTCTCTATTCTCAAAGAAAATAGAAGTTTTATTATACATAATGAACACGACTTGTTAATATATAAATAAACACGACTCTGTATTATATATATAGGGTTAAAATCACGAATTGCCCATGTATTGCTGCTTTTTTGTCACTTAATTTTTGTACAATCAAAATGTTCCATATACAAATCCTATCCGAACCGTCATTGATGGAATTACCAAAATGAATTTATTGTTTATTTTTAATATTATAGATTATATTGTTTGCAATATATATATATTTTTCCTATATAATTCCATATATTGTTTGCAATATATAAAATTATAATATACATATTAGCTAATAATAGCAACGTTAATTATATATACAATATATTGTAATTTTCAGTATCGTTGCCTCTATTTATGTGAATGGGGTCATAAATATACGTCGTATTATACAATTAAATAAAAATACTATATAATCATACTATACTCAAATATTATACTATTCTTTCATATTTTATAGTACATATTATATAGGTATTGTATAATATATTATGAATATTTTTATAATATTTAATTAAAATCTCAAATATCATACTATGTGTTTTTTATAAGTATATTATTTTACAAACATATTTATTATAAATTGTATTTCTTGTATAATTACTAATTTTTATATAATGTAATCTATTAAGATAGTTTTAGCTATTTTTAACTTTTAGTATTATAGATTATATAGTTTAATATTATATCTTATTTATGAATTTTTATAGTACATATATGGAGTATAGTGTCAAAAATTGAAAGTATACATACAGGGGGTGTTTTTTATAAGTATATTATTTTACAAACATATTTATTATAAATTGTATTTCTTGTATAATTACTAATTTTTATATAATGTAATCTATTAAGATAGTTTTAGCTATTTTTAACTTTTAGTATTATAGATTATATAGTTTAATATTATATCTTATTTATGAATTTTTATAGTACATATATGGAGTATAGTGTCAAAAATTGAAAGTATACATACAGGGGGTTTCGTAAATATAACACTTCAGTAAATTTAACGCGGTAATTTTAGTCATGTAAAACTCACAAAGCACATGTCATATTACCGTTTACTTTAACTGAGATTTGATCAATTAAAAATAAATAAAAAAATTAATCGTACAAGGGGTAAAGTGCCAAAAGTATGAAAGTAGACGGGGGTTTTATTAATTTAACCCTTATATATATATATATATATAATATAATGAGCACAACTTGTTCAACACCCTTTTTTTTTTACTTGAGAGCTTAATTGTTCGGAGCAAGTTGTGATTTTTATTTTCCTTTCTTTTATTTATTTATTTATTATTATTATTTTTACCTTCCAAAGACACAAGTTGTTCTAGAGAGGAAAAAGATAAGAAAAAAAGAAAAAGAAAGATCATACGTCTTTATATAATATTTACATAAGGAAAAGCTTGTGAGAAACTTAATTTTATGTTGACTAATTTTAATGTCAAAATTGTTCAACCGAGTTGTAATTTTGATTTTATTTTGGGTCTCGGCTTTGACAAGTTGAAAAACAAGTGCATGGATATCTTAATTTGATGAGAACACCACTTAGAACAAATATTTGAGTGAGAACAATGTGGGTTTGAAGTTTGGTAGGCTAGAACTTTGCATTTGTGCTTTTATTTGGAAAAATCTAAATTCAAAGAAGTTCGACACTTTAAAGATACTCGTTGGAACTTTTGTGGAGCCCAACAAGTCGCACTTTATTCCATTTACTCTCAGTTGGAGAGTTCTAGGAAGTGCCACCAATCACATGCAGTTTTTGAAACCAGTAGCGCATTTCTTCATAGTTGTGGGATCTCTTGTTTTTGGTATGTTTTTATGTCGTATTCGAACCTTCTGTAGACATTCTTAATCGGTTTTAATCTATTTGCAACCTTGTTAAGGACTCTCATATATATATTAATACTTTCTTAGAGTATCTTGCAGTCTATTAAAATATTATTTTGTGTAAAATATATATTGTCACGTATGATTTGTATTTGTAAATAAAAATTATGAGCACAATATATAAAAATTATGAGCACAATATACTACATATATGTACTATACTTTTAAATTTTAATTTACACAATTTTTTTACACAGTTTCTCTTCTATCTTTCTCATTCCATTAAAGCTTTTTCTCATTCTATTAAAGAACCAACCATATATTAAGTAAGTTTATACAAGTTTTATGTGGTACTGACATAACATGTGGTTGGTTGTTATTTGGAATTTTTTTTTTTACACAAACGGTATAAAACAACTATTGGAGTTAAAAAAAAATCTAAATTTTTTGTATAAATTTATCATGACACATCAGATTTACACAAAAAAATATACACAACAGTTGGAGATGTTCTTAGTCTCATGAATATATATACACAAGCGCAATACTTAAGTCCTCACTAGTGAGGATATGTAATATACTCAGTGTTAATGTAAACTAATAATAAATTGACACGTCTTATTTTAATTACCAAATCAAAGTAGACACGTCTTATTTTAATTACCAAATCAAAGTTAATAAGGCTGCCCTAAAATTAGTTTCAATTGGGTTGCCCCACCACAAAGTTTAGGTCCAATTCCTAGAATGATTGCCTAGGAAGTTGTTGGAGTCTTTTCCTGAATGAGTGGGCTGGGCCGGATCCGGCCCAGTGGGATTTTTTTGGGTCCCTTCAACTACCCATTTAAGAAAATAAGACGAAATATACAAAGTTGTACTATATTATGGTATTAAATTAATAAACCATACCATTGAACAAGCGGTAAGACTAAAATAAAATAAATAAAATATTTAATACTGTCTGAACATATATATAGACACATGTATATTATTTACATATATATATATATTATTTATTGTAATGAAAAGCTAAAATCACTCATGAACGCTAATATTTTAACAACAAATTTGTAATACACACTTTATATTAATTCAAATTACTTCACAGCACCAAAGGAATTAAGTGACTGAAATTGTGACAAATTTTTTATCTGTCAACATACATAATTACTTTATTAGCATTAAATTAATAAATCATAATATTAAATAATAGTGTTAAAAGCAAAAATAAAAATAAATAAATAACAAATTACCATTATATGACACACACACACACATATATATACATGTGTCTATTGTGAGGGAAATATATTGCAACACATAAAGACTAATATCTTAATAGAAATTTTTAAATACACACCTTATTTCAATTCAAATAACTTCACAGTATCAAAGGAATTGAGTTGCTGAAATTGTGACAAATTTATTAAGAGCCAACAAACATGATTACTTGATTAGCATTAACTTAATAAATCATACTATTAAATAATAATGGTAAAAGCAAAAAAATAAAAATTATGAGCACAATATATATATATATATGTGTGTGTGTGTGTGTGTATTATAAGGGAAAGATGTTGTAACGCATCAACAGTAATATCTTAATAAAAAATTTCAAATTCATACCTTATTTCAGTGCAAATAACTTCAATATATGCACCAGAGGAATTAAGTAGCTCGAACTGCGACAAATTTTTTATCTGCCAACATATATAATTGCTTGATCAGTATTAAATTGATAAATAAATCATACTATTGAACACTAGTGCTAGAAGGAAAAAACAACAATTTAACATTGTTTGTACATATATATAAAAAACAAGTGTATGTATGTAGTGTAATAGAAAGATATTGTAACACATTATATAAATTACTTGATTGAACCAAATGATCATTCTAAAGAATAAAAGTATACACAAGGAAATTGCATGCACTGATGCACTCACGCATTACGTTGCCTACCTAACTGTTGCCCTGGTGAACAGCTCTATGGAAGTATGGATTCAAGCATTAAGATTATGATTTATATGACTGGAAGAAAGCTGCAAACCCAAGTTCAAGAGTAATATACTTTTCTTACATAGACAAACTTATATGTGTGTGTGTGTGTGTGTGTGTGTGTGTGTGTGTGTGTGTGTATTGATTTAGAGAGAGAGATAAAGAGAGACTATAGAAAGGAATAATTCATGAGTTGCATCTTCTTTTCTTGGGATTGTTTGTACTTGACAAGGAAGCAAGGAAGCAATATATCAAACCATGCAAGTTGTCTCATGTGTTTTATATATCAAAAGAAGCTTTCTTGGCCTGTGAACACTCAAGCAAAAGATGAATTAAATATGAAACACTAAAATATCAATTTTGATTTCTTCTGCTGCGGGATCCAAGGGGGTTTGAGCCCAAAAAAAGAAATTTTTTATTTTTTATTTTTTAATTTTTTTATATCAAATGATGGTTTTTCTTGGCCTGTGAACACTCGACCAAAAGATGAATTAAATATGAAACATTAAAATATCAATTTTGATTTCTTCTGCATTTTCACCAAAAGCTATGGTCACATATAAAATCTTTTAGGGTAAAATGTGATATTGTATTTGCTGATTATAAACCCTTGTAATTAAATGTAAAGCACGGTGTATATAGATTTAGGTTGCTATGGAGGTCTAGTACGAGAAAGTCTACAATACAAGTACAATGAGGTCTCTTAGTCGTTAGATCATCTATCAGGTGGACCCCACCACTAGGGGTGGAGGGAGGGGTGGGTCAGGGGTGGCCATGGCCCCCGCCCGCCCCCCCCCCCAAATTTTTATTTTATTTTTTATTTTTTTTCTTCTGTAACCTCTATTAGTGGAGTATATTTATACTTATTAAAGATAAATTAGTATACAAAATTTTAAATTGGCCCCTCAAAATTTTCTTAACTTCTATTAATAGTGTATATATTTATAATTATTAATGGTAATTTACTATAGAAAAATTAAAATTGGCCCCCAAATTTTCAAAAAATACTTAATTTTGTTACTTTTTTATGGTTATTAAAGATGGTTTGCAAAAGAAATTGCTCGTATTCCTCAAAGTCTAAAGAATCCTTCTTTTCTTTTTCTTTTTTTTTTTCTTTTTTCGGAAGGTTATTATTGCAATCTTGGTATAACATATCATTACTCTATGCATATCCTTCATACAACATTCAGTTTTATTATTATATAGTACTTTATGCATATGCACGTGTGTAATACCCTGATATTTTAAAAGATTTATTAATTGGGATTAATTAATTTTATTTTATTTTTAAATGATTTGTTTGATTTAATTGAAATTAATTGCTTTTATTTTATTTTTAAATGATTTGTTTTATTTAATTGAGTACTATGATTTAATTGTCTTATTTGTATTAAACTATATTTCACGATTATATTTGATGAATTGGTGTGATGTTTTGATTTGTGAAATTTTATGATTGAATTGTTGATTTCTAATGTGTGTATTTATGTTTGTTTCAATACTTTAATTATTTTGATATCCCTTAATTTTGTGCGCGGATTTGATCAACTTATGTTCCGAAATTAGGGAGTATCACAAATGGTATCAGAGCCTGATCCAGCCGGAAGTGTGCCGACGAGGACGTCGAGCCTCCAAGGGTGGTGGATTGTGATGACCTTGTAGTTGGTATGAGACCTTTTGGGGTGAAGTTTAAAAGCAAAACCGTGCGGGCTTAGGCTCAAAGCGGACAATATCATACCATGTGGTGGAATGAGTCGTTAAAAATGGAGGACTCGTGACCACCTTTGTGTGCGTTTTACATGAGATACCCACTATCCGGTTGAGATTTCTTTAGTCCAATGAGGGTCTCTAGTGTGTACTTATATTTATCAATTATATAAATATGAAATTAGCTAATTACGAGATATGTCTACTAATTATGAGTATATGTAAATGGGTTAATTTCCACACGGACAAAGAGAACAATGAAATTTGAAATTAAATAATCAAAGTTTTCATTTCATGGATTCGTGAATTTCGAGGACGGAATTGCTTTTGTTAAGGGGGAAGAATGTAATATCCCGATATTTTAAAAGATTTATTAATTGGGATTAATTAATTTTAATTTTTATTTTTTAATGATTTGTTTGATTTAATTGAAACTAATTGCTTTTATTTTATTTTAAAATGATTTATTTTATTTAATTGAGTATTATGATTTAATTGTCTTATTTGTATTAAACTATATTTCGCGATTATATTTGATGAATTGGTGTGATGTTTTGATTTGTGGAATGTTATGATTGAATTGTTGATTTGTAATGTGTGTATTTATGCTTATTTAAATACTTTAATTGTTTTGATATCTCTTTATTTTGTGTGCAGATTTGATCAACCCGTATTCCGATATTAGGGGGCATCATGATGAGCGCTGAAAAGTGCATATTTAAATCCCTTAAGCTTAGGCATTCTATTACCTTTATCTATTTTACTTTACCGTTTTAGATTGATTTCATTTTATTTCTGTTTTTAGGCATTTATCCCGAAAATAAGCTAACTCAGCCAAATACGAGCTTAATTGAAGCAATTCTGGGATGAAACAAAGAAAGGAGCAAAGTGGAAAAAGGAAGAAGCAAAAAGAAGCCAAAGGTGGGAAACAGCAAAGTTCGATCGATCCAACTTCAAGGTTCGATCGATCCAACATGATCGATCTCAGCACTTCAAGAAGGATCAGAGCCATGATGACATTTTCGAGATCTCAAAAGTTCGATCGATCCAACACCATTCTTCGATCGATCGAACTGCTTTGTCCTTATCTAAATGATTGATCTTATCTAGTTGTACTACCCTACCTACCACTTTTGTCCTTTTCCCAAAAATACCTTCAAAATATCTCAGATTTGTCTTTTCCCAAAAAGCTCGACCAGTTGGATCGATCCAGCCTCAGTTCGATAGATCTCAGCCAAGTTCGATCGATCCAAGACGAAGGTTCGATCGATCGAACTTCCTCTAGTGCGAAAAAAGTTAAAAAGCCAGCTCATTCAAGTTGTCTTGTATCCAATCATTGGGGAATATTCTTTGCACGACCCCAGCTCATTTTGTGTGTTATTTGACCTACCTATATAAGGAATATGATGCAGTTTTTGAGGGAGCTTCTTAGAGAATTAGGGATACAACCTTAGAGGCAAGTTTTAAGGAGGAAGAAAAAAAGGAGGAGGCCAGAGACACCATTGGGGAGTTCTTCATCAATAAGGAGCAGATTTCTTCCATGGAGTTAGCCCTTGAGGGTTGGAGCAACATCACCATGAGTGGTTAGACATCCTCTTGGGGCTAGAGTTAGCCCCAAGCATGCTTTCTACATCTTAATTTTGTGTATTATTGAGGGATTAGAGTTTTAATACATGTTTTGGCACTTATATGTATATAGATCTTGTTTATTCAATGGTTTATGTGGTTTAATGCTTCCTGGTCTATCTAATGGTATGCTCAGTTGTATCTAGTTTGTTCTGAAAGGACCATTTCAACCCATGTAAAGTACCCTTGCCGCATTGATTTCTAACCCAAAAGTTTGACTTTATGAAACTTTGGAGTTTCATATTTTCTTTATCCGGATTCCGAATCAAGTGATTCTTGAGTCTATCTTGATTAGTTTTTCGTTATCTTTCTAGCGGTGTGCTCGGTGGCACCCGAGTCCATAGTTTTTTGAAATAACTATTTTGCCCCTAGGGGCTTATTTGTCATATTTTTGGTCTTTTGCTTCCGCGTCAGTTCTCATTGAGTTCCACGACCTCATGGAAGGTCATTTTGACTTCTTAGAGTCTTATTTTCTGTTTTCGCTTCCGCATATCGGATCCGTTATCGGGTCAATCTTTGGTTCATCACAGGACACGCTGGCCTAAAAACCAGGGTCGTCACAGGTGGTATCAGAGCATCCGGGTTCGAATACCTTGGACGATGGGTTTTGGGTACATATTTTGCTCATGTTGTTTTGCTTTGATGCGCCATTTAAATGCTTCTTGATAACATGCCTTGTGTGATAACATGTTTTGTTTGATAACATGTCTTGTTTGATAATATGTCACGTATGATAACTTGTTCCCATGCTCAGATGTTCTGAGACGCCTATTATTTGTTAAGCATGTCTTATGTGTATATATGCTCTTGATAACATGTTTTGATTTGATAACATGTCTATTTGCTTATGTGGCACCTTGAGTAGATAGTCCATTGCTATGTTGCATGCTAGTTGTTTACTTTTATGTCTGGTTTTGACAGTGTCTCTTAGGTCTGTCGTATCCCTTGGATGCCTTCTTGTTTCACGAGTTTCTTCCTTGGATAGGAGAAATTCATTCTGTAAGGACCCATGTCGGGAACCTTCTTGTCCGTTCTGTCAATTAATGCGAGTAAGGCTCATGTGAGTGTAGAATCGCAATTCTTGTTTGGTGGAGTGAGACGTGGGCCAGGGAGGCACCGTTTTATTTCCTTTTCCTTCGTGGCTTCTAGATCTAAAGCCTTAAGCGTAATGGTGCTAGTGTCATTGTTGTCAGAGTTTTGGGATTAGCCACCCCAATTCTCGCATATACCTGGTTTCTGTAGTGCCTTTGGTAATGATCATTTTCGACATTGATGTCATTTATATCTAAAAGTTCCCTTCTGGAGCATGTTACGAACTAGTGCCTTATACTGTCATGCTACCTTACTGACGAGTAAGTGTGGGCAGGTTCTGGTTGTTGTTCGTATTGCCTTGTCACTCTCTTCTTTCACTGCGTTTTGTTGACCTTGAATCAAAGGTTTTTGGTGATCATAATTCATTAATGATGTTCAATGATTACCAATGTCATCTTGAGTGAAATTACAGAGCAAAGCATTCATCAAAACAAACACTACAATACAAGGACAAAACTGAAGAAGTAACACCAAGGAATGAGCAAAGGACTAAGCAATCAAAAGTCAAAGTCAAGTCATCACAAGACATCAAAATGGGGTTAGCTAGGTTGGTGAGTTTCTTAGGAAGCTTTGTTAAAGTGTATATGAACATCTTGAAGCTCAAACTCTC